ACCCTACGCTATCCTTTGCTTTATATCCCTACTACTTCTTCTGTCCTGACTTATCTGAGTTCCTAGATACTTAAGGGTTGTACAATGTACGGTCTGAATTCTAATTTGATATTCCCCTTTATCTTTATAAGAAGTAACATTTTGGAAATCCAAAATAATGGCTTATGCAATTTCTTTGTAGTGATTTCAAATGTACAACTAATGTCTTTATAAATCCGTTAGAAATTCATTTCATCATCAACTAGTCATGAAATTCTAGTTATATGAAATTAGCCGTCACCATCCCTTAGTGTCATCAGAAGAATTTCTGTTTTGCGAATATGTATTAAGTGTATGTACTTAAACTATCAAACTTTTATTCCTTCAAAGAATATCCCAATCCAATATTACAAATCCCTTTTAATACACAATTAAAACCAAAAAACACGTAACTAATTGTTTATTTACATGAATTATTTTAGTTGTTAAAACAATTTCGTTCAAGTGCCTTCTGTTTCCAGATAAGAACATAATTTACTTTACATTTGAATATTTTGTCCATCATTATTTATCTGAATATATGATAATTACACACTTTCGAAATCAGAATAAAGGGAATTTCAAATAACTGAAAGTAAGAAGGGTAGTGCTCCATTAGTAGTGCTAGTGGCGAGGATGCTGTTGTGTAATAAGAGAACTGCATCGCTTTTAGATGCATCTGTACATCACTTATCATGACAGATGCAAGTCAATCAACTGCATGACAAAAAAGAGAATTTTCATGCGTTTTCAGCGATGTAGGTACATCCCATATTGATATAGAAAAGAATAAAGACACAGATATCGTGCTTGCAGCGTCTTGTGGCAATCGTCCTAAGCCGATCCTGTCTACACCTTTTAACTGGTATTAGATTGAGGAGTGACAATAGATATTATCACACTCATTTACTAATTATAAGTGCCCGATCATCATTGTCAAGGAGCTGTTATTTTGACTTAAATGTACCAATTTTGTTATGCAATATAACCTAACCTAGCCTAAAGTAATCTAATTCACAAAATAGGTACCTATAATAATTTTTGTGTGTTTATATAAAGCCGTAACAGACTCTGAAAGACTGAAGAATTGACAATTTCAATATCATGGATTTGGAAGGACCGTCGGGTTCATCAAGTGAATCACTTTCGCCACAGTTCGTGCAGCAGGACGTCAATTTTTGCAACCCTGTTAATATTTACGGGGAGAATTTTTTTTACCACCCAACGGCGTCGTGCGGCGGGCCGACGAAGAGATACGACTTGGAAGGCGCATATTTCACCAAAGAATTCGATATTCACAAGCTAGATAAGGCGCTGGGCGAGAAACTATCAATAGGAAACGGAAACGATAAAACGGCCGCGGTGGCCTATCATCAAGCAGCCAAGGGCCGAGAATCCTACTGCGGTACGGCTGGCGGTAAAGTAGCGAATAGTGAACTGGATGAAATTTCACCAGTAAGAAAAAGTGCGGAAGATTGCAACAACAAAATCGGAAGCATATACTTGAACAATAATAGCGGTGGTGGTGTTACAAACAGCTGTGGTACAAATAATAATAACAATAACAACAACAACAACAATAATAATAACAATAGTAAAAATAAAAATGAGAATAATATCGTGATTATGAAAAGTCCCAAAGGATTTGGAAAGAAGACGGTGGCGTTTTCTCATGAACAGGTAAACGTTTGACCTATTTATTTAGTATATAAGCAGTGAAGTTTTTGGAGGGTTCATAAGGGGGGCCGTGGCCCCGAGTCTTACAGATATAGTGAGCTCGTTTTCATAAGATTAAGTTTTTTAATTTAAAAAAACTGAAATAATTCTAAAAATTAATCACTATAGCATTAATTAAATTCATACTAAAAATTGGACACTATTTATAGCTGAATTTATATTATTGTCTAACATCATCATCATAAGGTCGTCAGTCCTAAGACTG